TGTTGGGGGCAATATGCTGACTCTCTGTAAACCGCTTAGAGAGGGCTGAAAGCCCTATGAAGCGGTATATAAGTCTACTGCTATTGCTATTCTTGCAAAACCATACCAGTGAGGGTTGAGTATGTTCTGTGTTTGGGCTGCTTAATTTTTTTGAGGATAGGGAGAGAATGAAAAACAAGAGTTTAGGGAAGAAAGAATAGATGGTCCCAAAATAAGACCACATCTGCTTGTCCAAAACGTTGAACAGAAGACTTTGGCTGGACCTACCGCTGCAGCTGTTGAACATTTCTTGAAATCGAAGTCAAGATTAAAAATAAAGTTACTGTACTGTAAAACCATAGTTCTGTAAAACAGGAACTAACCTGACTGAGTTTTTACTATGGCTCTTGACTATTTATGTCTGTCTCATGTGCTTTCTGTTTCCTCCTACAGCTGTTTTTCTCATTATTGTATTCTTAGGAGCTCATGATTTCCTGGGAAGTTTTATTTGTTCATGAATTCTTCCAGGAAAAGATGGGAATTAGATCAGTTGCTGTATGTGCCTGAACTTGAATTTTAAAAACAAAATGCCACAGTACATTTTAACATTTAACAGTAATCTGTTCTCTTCCTTCCCCCCACCCATTTTTTCAAAAATACACTTTAATTGATTTTGGTGATGTTCTGCAAAAAAACTTTAAACCAAGCTGTGAAAGTTACCTTTCCTTCAACAGATTCACAGTGGAATGAAATTCTTTCCATCCTTTTCAGAAGCACAGTAGGACATTAGTTGAATAGAGGAATTATGAAAGATGGACCTGTTTACTTTGAGTATTTATGATTTATTTTTATTTCCCCAATTTGTTTACTAAAAGCGATGAACCTAGCCTATGAAAAACAAAAATTCCTGTACGTAATGGGTGGAATCCAAGAATGGTTTTCACCTTCCAAGCAGCAGGACTGGGCCAAGAGTCAGTCCTTTCCTCCTGCCTTCAAAAATCTGCTCTGAAAGTTTGGGAGACAACAAAGTTTGAAGGTTCCTGAGGATGTTGCAAGGTAGAGGAGAGGGGGGAAATGCCCTGTGAGCAGGAAATCTGCTCCTGCAATGTGATATTTCACCCATGTAGTAAGAAAGAAACGTAATGATTGCAGCTGAAGGCTCATTAAAGTCAGATATTGTAATTGTCACTACCTATGTAAAACCTGTGAAAAGAGTTGCCTGGGGATCTTTCTATGGAAAATTTATTGCCACCAATGGAGAATGGCCAGTACTTTGGCAGATTGTCTTCATATGCTCAAAGACATGATAAATGTTAGAGCATCTGCTAAGGATACAAATGGTCCATGGGCCTAGTATCTGAAGACAATTACCTTTTAATACCTAATATGGTACTTGGTCATAATGGGCCAATAGTCTAGCCAGAATAGTATCAGGGTAGTCATGTTCATGTATATTACAGTAATTCAGTCTTGAAAAGATTAGGTAATTCATTGGATATATTGGTTGGGCACACTGGGAGCTGTATTTCAGAAGCAAATGGCTGTAAGTTTCCAACTGTATATTAGAAGAATGCTCAGATTGTGGAACTGAAATACTTTTCACTTTCCTTTTTTATTCACTAACTTAGTAATAACAAAAGAAAAACAGCTTGATTCTTTTCACAGACATTTCATTACTAGACAATGAAGCATCATCACTGCATGGGGGTGGAATGATAGTGGTGGTGGTGATTTCTACTGATTCATATCTTGTAATTTTATTCTTTTTTTTCTTCCTAGCTTTTTGGGTGGGGCATTGTTTCTTCTGTGATTGTTCTAATATCTGGTGATAGTTTCTGCTTATCTGAAGGTTGGTTAATAGCTATATGATGAGGAAGAATATCTGTTTGCCAAGGTCTAAGCTTAAGTAACTCATCAAAGCTGGTAGGCCAAGCTACAATACATAAAAACAGCCAGCTAACTGTACACTGACGATGTTCCCTAGACTGGTAATGAAATATCTGCAGGAAGAGAAGCAAGCTCAGAGAATGCCAAGCTACACATATTCTCACTATGGGAGGGGAAAAGGAATCTTCTAAAAAATCCTAAAAAATGTTTTTTTCAGGTTAAAATATATTGATCATAACAGAGGATTTTCTCCTAATGCAAATGATAAGAGCCAAGAAATAGTAAAAAAATGGTCACAAAATTCTAATAATGGAGGAAAAGATGAAACCATCCATTCCTACTTGTTGATCTTGATCAGTCTTTCCCAGAAGCTTCTATTTCATTTTTTAAAAAAATGTACCTGTAGACTTTATAGGCCACCATCTTATATGCTACAGCAAACTAGTTCTCAAATTATCTGTTTTTAGCCCCAAATTTTGGTTTTTCTGATGGAAGGGTGATCTGGGAGGGAGATGAGTTAGCTATGCATTGAGCACAGCAAAGCTTGATTATGACGATTACGTGCCAACAAGTTTTGCTCTTATTAACCACCACATAAATAGATGGCTGCTGCACTATAATGCAATGTTTTTAATTTTGGCTTAGGTATTATGTGTGACCATAGCTACTGCGGTTTGATATGTGTGACCATAGCTACTGTGGTTTGTTCAGCAATCCATAGCATAGCATAGTGCAGTGTTTCTCGACCTTACCGACTTTAAGTCCTATGGACTTCAACTCCCAGAATTCCCCAGCCAGCAGAGCTTCTGGGAGTTGAAGTCCATAGGACTTAAAGTCGCCAAGGTTGAGAAACACTGGCATAGGGTGAACTCTGTCACTGAAGTAGTATTCCCAAAGCAATAGCATTTCTGCTCATCAACTTGGAATTAAAATCCGAAGCGACACCAAAATGCTTGTCCTCCAAATCATACCAGTAATGTCAAACAATTGTCTAGAAGACAGATTTTTGATTCACTAATTTGAATCAAATTTATAACTTTATAACTTGATCCACTAACCATTGAAGATACAATGGAAAAACTTTTCTTTGAAAGGCAGAACAAAAACAAGAGCCAACTCCAGATGGGTTGGGCTTCAAAACAGACCAGAGAAATCCCATCATCCTGCCTTTGTGGCCACTCCTGTCCTCTGACTAGATACTAATTTGTTTGGGCTGGAACTGAGGATGGTAAGAAGTGGATTTTCCAGCTGGGGTTGTCCAAAGAAGGAAATTGCCTGTAGAGATTAAAATGTGACTTTGGGAGACGCCTTTTGGGGGAAATATGGAGGTAAAACTCGGCGTGAAGGTAAAACTCGGTGGATGGGACTGCCCGGCGAAGATCTGAGACCAGGAAAGACATTTTAAAACAGTGGAGTCCGAGTTTGGTGCTTTGATTGCAGACGTTTCATTACCTGACTAGGTAACGTCTGATGCTACTACCTAGTGGAGTAATAAAACGTCCGCCAGCGAACCGCCAAGTTCAGAGAGCGCCAAAGGATTCCTCATTGCAACCCTGAGCTGCAGAGATTCTCTTCTGTCGGGACATTGGAAACGGAGGGTTTGCGTTGCGGATTCAGGAACTGCGCCTGGCTGAGGAGCGCCTTCAGAGCTGAGCGCTGGGCGGCGGCGGCCCACGGTTGTCTCCGTGGCTCGGGACAAGTCCCTGCAGGACGGCTGCGAAGCCCCGCCTCTCGGCCCTGCCTTCCTCAGCCTCATCCTTCAGGTGTCTCCCTCCCTCTAATAACTATTTGCCTCTTTTTCTCAGCCGGAGCTGCTCCGAAACAGCCAGGAACGGAGGCAGGCAGGCAGGCAGGATGGCTGAACAGAGGACTGGATTGAACCGCGGGCGGCTGTGTGGGTGAACCGGCGCTTCGGAGCAGCTGCGCCGACAGGAAAAGCCACCCTGCCGGCTTCTTTCAGGCAGTTTCTTCCTGGGCTGCTGGAGGAGCGACCGAGAGAGAGAAAGAGAGAGAGAGAGGAACGAGGCGGGAGGAAACCGGAGCCGGAGACCAGGGCAGGCTTCGGGTTGCTCGAGGGCCGGCAGCCACTTTGGGGGCCTGGCGGCAATCGGGGGTTGTTCTGGAACTATGGCTTCCTCCCCCTCGTCTTTTCTTTGTGTTCTGGATCCCTGACCCCAGCAGCCCCGAGTGAAGTGATTCAGCAGCTTGGCTCATTTCCTTCGCGGCTCCGAAGGCAGAAAGGGGCTGAGCTTGGGCTGTGTGTGTATGTGTGTAAGTGTTTGCGTGTGAACACACCAGCATGGGCCGGAGATCGGGAACCCTGGGCTGCCCTGACTGACCCCTGAGGACTCTAGTGTCCCAAGTCAGCTGGGACTGGGAAAGCCCCAAGCTGAAGTTTCCTGTTTGATTTGGGGAGGAAGCCTCCTTGTCTTTGCTCAGCTGGGACCTGCCATGTCCGGAGGGATGAAGTTTAATGGGTACATGAAGGTGCGCATTGGGGAGGCTGTGGGGCTCCAGCCCACCCGCTGGTCACTCCGGCATTCCCTGTTCAAAAAGGGATACCAACTCCTGGACCCCTACATCACAGTGAGTGTGGACCAAGTACGGGTGGGACAAACCAGCACCAAGCAGAAGACCAACAGACCTACTTACAATGAGGAGTTTTCTGCCCCTGTCAACGATGGGCGCCAGCTGGAGCTGGCAGTCTTCCATGGCACCCCTATTGGCTACGATGACTTTGTGGCTAATTGCACGGTGCCCTTTCACGATCTGCTTCATGGCACAGGGTCTTCTGACAGCTTTGAAGGATGGGTAAGTAGCTGGCTCTTTTATGGAACTGCAACTCCCATGGAGTGTTCACCCCTGCTGATGTACAACATAAGCATGGGTGTGCATTCCCTTGGTCTGTCTGTGCAGATTGTGTGACTTGGGAGATGAATCAAAGTTATTTTGCAAGGCCGCAACAAATACCAAAGCCTTGTCTTTGGGGAGCCTAGAACTTTATTACTGGGATCCATGATTTATCATTCAATTTCTCCTTCTTAATAATTATGAATGTTACCGGATGTGCATCTAGCCCAGTGTGCTTATCTGGATTTAGAGAAGCTCATAAACATAGGATGATTAATAAGACAGCTCTTTCCTATTTATCATCTGGCATGTGATTTTCCAAAATATATCTGGCTAGCAACTGCAGGTATACTTATTGTTTATGTAGTTGCCCATTTATTTAATGCTGTTTGCCACCTGGAATCAACATAGGGGTGGTCATATAAATTTAATTAATTCTTTGACAAAATAAATGAAAATATGTACATTTATGTAAAAAGGAAATGTACAAAATATGAACATGGCTCTAATTATAAGAGAAAAAAATGACTGAATACTCTCTTAGAATGCATTATTCCAAAAATTGTTAGATAATTAACATTTTTCTGTAAAGTTATTGTTTTACAGAATCAAATTCTGTTGATCTCTAACAAGTTTGATAATTTGAATATTTACCTGCATCTATAAGTTTAGAAACTTCTTCTGTTTTCCAAGATTGCACTATAAGCAGTTGTGTTTGTTTCTTATTTTTCAAGGCCATTTGGAAATTATAGCAATAAATTACATAACCCAATGACATGTTCCAAGAAGGATATACATTTATTAGCCTTATTCTTAATCCGGCTTATTTCTTGAAGAAAATATTTTGCTCAGCATTTGCCCACACCATCAGTCCTTCAGTTTCTTCATAGCCTGAAATATGTCTGAAATATGAAATATAGTGTATTTTTATTTTCAACTTTTCAGCTTTTTCAGAAACAGGAGTCAAGTCTCTGCAAGGCTCTTGAACTTGAATGTACTATCCACCATGAAATAAATTCAACATTGTTGACTTCTAAGCAGATTTCATGCTTCCCCCCCCTCTCCTCTGCCCCATACATATCTCATTAAGCAAAGTATTTTAAATGGTACTTTGCATGATCAAAGAGGCAAGGCAGTATGTTTGTGTATTGCAACTACAGATGCATTGATACATTTTGAAGGAAGGACTGCCTACTGATTCTCCCACGAATAGGAAATATAGGAAAGAGACTAGAAATATCTTGGGAAGTTGTCTAGCAATTAAAATCTTGTGGGGAAAAGATACTCATGGGCCATTTTTTAAAATCCAAGCATAGCACAATTTGTGGTGCAGGAGCCATTGAGATATATTAAGCAGCCTGCTTCCTGAAATCATAGGTCCTTCATTACTGAACGTTTGGGGGCAGTAGTTTGTCTGGGGTACTATGAGAGGATTTGTTCATAACTCTAGATGTCCTGTAACTTTTGATTTAGCCATGAAAAGCCATCAGGATGACTTTGCGCCAGTCACTCTCTCCACCAAACCCACCTCACAGAGATGTTGCTGTAGGGACAACAAAAGGACACGTTCACCATGAGTTGTTCACAAAAATAATAAATATGGAAAATAAACAAATAATAAACAAATAAAATAAGATGTTCATTCTAATAAGTAAAGAAATAAGATTACCAGAATGTAAATGTGTATTGTATCTCTTTTTTTGTTTACTCCTATGTCATAGTTCCAACTGGGTGGCAATATCCAGGTGACTTGGGCTGATATCAGTAGTTAAGCATCCACTAACTAGTTTGTAGGGACACAATGGCTCAGTGGCTAAGACGCTGAGCTTGTCGAGCAGAAAGGTCGGCAGTTCGGCGGTTTGAATCCCTAGTGTCCCATAATGGAGTGAGCTTCTGTTACTTGTCTCAGCTTCTGCCAACCTAGCAGTTCGAAAGCATACAAAGATGCAAGTAGAAAAATAGGGACCATCTTGGTGGGAAGGTAAGAGTGTTCTGTGTGCCTTTGGCATTTAGTCATGCCGGCCACATGACCACAGAGACGTCTTCGGACAGCGCTGGCTCTTCGGCTTTGAAACGGAGATGAGCACCGCCCTCTAGAGTCAGGAATGACTAGCACATGCAGTATGTGCGAGGGGAACTTTTACCTTTAATTAGTTAGTACATGGATAGAAACCATTAGAAAATCCTGGGGCTGTGGGCTAGACTGGGGGAAAAGTCTGAAAAGGCAAAGGTAAGTCAGGTTCATTTAGGTTGCTAATTTGTTGGACTTGTTCATGAAGTCCCTTTTGTCTCCATGATTAGTAGCAAAAAGATCCAACCGATGCCTGGAAGCTGTCAGGATCTGGATGGGAGTGAACAAACTTGCACTCAATCCTCACAAGACTGAGTGGCTGTGGATGTTGCCCCCAAAGGACAGTCCAGATAGTCCATCTTTGATCCTGAGGGGTGAGAATTTACACCCCTCAGAGAGGGCCCGCAACTTGGGGGTCCTCCTGGATCCACAGACATTGGAACACCATCTGTCGGCTGTGACCAGGGGGGCCTTTGCCCAGGTTCACCTGGTGCATCAGTTGC